CAAACCCACCCTGGTCCTGTCCCCAAACCCATCCCAGTTCTGTCCCCTCACGGGCGCGGTGGGTTCGGGCTCCCCACGCTGGGGCTCCTCCGGGGGTTTTTTGGGGGAGATCAGCGGGGGGCAGGGCACTAATGAGACTTTAATAAATGTAACAACACCTGGGCGGGGGGTGCTGAAAGCCGAGTGGACCAGCCCTCGGTGAGGAGGCAAAACTCACCCACCTACAGGTGGTTTGGAACTGGTTCTCTCCCTGTTTTCAGCTCGGACTTCACCTCATTTCCATGTAAATAAGAAGCAGAAACACCCAAACAAGAAGCTTCCAGTGCCCCGACAGCTCATAATTTATGTTGATGGTGTCCCTGCCAAGCAATACCTGCACACCCAGCCCCAGCCATGTCCCCAGGGGACCAAAGCAGCCCAGCAGCTCCTTCTGGGAGAAAACCTTTAATCATCCCTGTCCTCGACTCGAAGGTGTTGCAAAACCCACGATTGCTGCTCTCAGGTGTTCATGTAGATCAGGGTGTTTGGGAGAGACAAAAAGGCCAGCAGTGTGGTTTTGGGGTAGGCTGGAGGCCAAATCCTGCACGGTGCAGCTCTGGATGTGCCCCTTTGTGGATCAGCAGAGTCCAGAATTGTGGGATCATGGAGTGGTTGGGTTGGAAGGGACCTGAAAGCCCATCCAGTTCCATGGGCAGAGACACCTCCCTCTATCCCAGGTGGCTCCAAGCTGGCCTTGGACACTTCCAGGGATGGGGCAGTCACAGCTTCTCCGGGAAATGCATTCCAGGGCCTCCCCACCCTCCCAGAAAGGAATTTATTCTGTATATTTAACTTCAATTCCCCCTCTTTCCCTTTGAACCCACTATCCCTGTCCTGGATAATGTGGATGCAGAGTCCCCCTCCAGCTTCCTCGTAGCCCCTTCAGATCCTGGAAGCTGCTGGGAGGTCTCCACACCCCAACCTCTCTTTCTCCAGGCTGGACAGCCCCACCTTCCCCAGCCTCTCCTGTCACGGGGTGTTTTGGAGAGAAGGAAGTCCAGGACTGTGGGTCTGGGACATACTGGAGGCCAAATCCTGCAGGGGGTCACTCTGGACGTGCCCCTTTACAGACTGGCGGAGTCCGGAATCACGGAATCGTGGAATTGTTGGGTTGGAGGGACCTTAAAGCCCATCCAGTTCCATGGACAGGGACACCTTCCACTGTCCCAGGTGGCTCCAACCTGCCCTTGGACACTCCCAGGGACGGGGCATCCTCTGGGAAATCCATTCCAGGGCCTCCCCCCCTCCCAGGGAGGGATTTATTCCGTATATTTAACTTCCATTCCCCCTCTTCCTCTCTGAGGTCTGGCAGCGCTGATCCCGGTGGACAGACGGAATCCCCACGGACAGACGGAATCCCCATGTCCTCCTCTGGCTCTGGAGCCCCCAGGCCTCGTTTGCTCCTCGCCACAGCCCAGCCCAGCAGGGACAGGGGGTGGTTTTTGTGGCTCTCACCCCTCCTGCCCGGCGGGGCCGGAGGGAGGGGAGGGTGAGAGCCTCGAGTGACGATTCCCCCCTTTCTGGGCAGCCCCACCTTTAATCCCATTCCGTTCACTCCACTTTCCCGGCGGCTCCGAACCCGTTTGGCAGCTTCAGGCTCCTCTGCCTTCCCCAGGCAGCTTCAGGCTCCTCTGCCCTCCCCGGGCAGCTTCAGGCTCCTCTGCCTTCCCTGGGCAGCTTCAGGCTCCTCTGCCTTCCCTGGGCAGCTTCAGGCCCATCTCCCTTCCCTGGGCAGCTTCAGGCTCCTCTGCCTTCCCCGGGCAGCTTCAGGCCCCTCTGCTTTCCCTGGGCAGCTTCAGGCCCATCTCCCTTCCCTGGGCAGCTTCAGACCCATCTCCCTTCCCCGGGCAGCTTCAGGCCCATCTCCCTTCCCTGGGCTCAGGGAACTGTAAACACAAACCTCGTTTTCCCATCACACCCGGGCCTGGATTTGCTGCAAACCCTGCGGGCAGTGGGTGACTGGGAATTCCCAGTGACATCCAAAGTGACATCCCGGGCCTGGATTTGCTGCAAACCCTGCAGGCAGTGGTTGCTCCATAATTCCCAGTGACATCCCAGACCTGGATTTGCTGCAAACCCTGCAGGCAGTGGGTGATTGGGAATTCCCAGTGACATCCCAGGCCTGGATTTGCTGCAAACCCTGCAGGCTGTGGGTGCTCAGGAATTCCCAGTGACATCCCAGGCAGACCCACACTGACATTTCCCAAAGCCAGCCTGTTCCAGCCAGGAATAATCTCTGCCTGCAGAGGGAAATTCCCTGTTTGTGCTCCCTTTGGAGCCTCCCCAGCAGCTTTTACCCCCCGGGTAATCAGATTTTTGGAGTTCTGTGCTCAGCAGCAGCTGCTTCCCTGCTCTGCCAGAGATGCCAGTGGGATTTTAGCTCGTCCCTCGTGGGTTTGGAGCACTTGGGGCTCATGGGTGTGTTTTGGAGGGCGTGTAGAGTCCTGTCCTGGAAATGTGTTTAAAGCTCCAGTCATGTGCAGGGCCCGGGCAAAGCCAGCTTTGAAAACCAGCTGAGCTCTGAAATTTGGGGAATAAAATGCTCCAAACATAGATTTACAAAGTCTGAGGTGCCAGAAAGTGTCACCACACCCCGTTCAATTGGAGCTTTCTTCTTTTTTTCCTTCCCCCCCCCCCCCAAGGACTCCAGGAAGTAAAAGAAGGAGAATTTGTGGGAGTGTTTTCCATGCTGGTTAAAAACCTGCTTTTGGTGGCGTTTTGAATGGAAAGTTCAAAGGTCTTTAAAAGGAATCAGAGCTGGGAAAGAACCAGAAACTCAGGACTGGCAACATGAAGCAGGCAAATCACATCCTTCCAGAGAGCTGGGCAGGGAGTTTTCCAGAAAATCGGCCTCTTTTACTGGAATAATTTTGAGGTCAAGATGAAAATGCATCGATCACACAATCACCTGGCAGGAGAAATCCCAGCAGCAGCCTCTGGCTGGGATGGAATTGTCCTCTGGAAGCGAAAACATCAAGGAGAGAAGCCCAGAAAAACCTGCCCTAAACCAAATAACCGAGACAAAAAGGGGCCAAAACTTAGGGTGACATTTAAATATGTGGAAATGGGAAAGAGGCAAACTGGGTCAGGACCTCTTTGTGCCAGCCCAGCAGGCAGTCCCTGCCCAGCCAGTGGGAACAGCAGACTGGAGAAATGGGAGCCCCAGCAGAGCTGTCAGGGCTCATCAGCGTCTCACCCGCCCTCTCCTCCAGGGGAAGAGGCCCCAGGAGTCATTTTGGTCCAGATTTGGCCATTTTATTCTCACAGGACTCTGCCCTGAGCTCTGTGTGGATCTGCTGCACCTCGGGAGCAGAGCTGGGGTGCCCTGGGTGTGATTGCTGGGTTTAGTACCTTTAAAATGCCTTTTCTGTCACTTCACTGAGGCTGCCAGAGCTCCAGGAGGGTTTGGATGATCCTCTGGGGCACAGGGTGGGACTGCTGGGGATGGGCCTGTGCAGGGCTGAGGGCTGGACTGGATGGTCCTCCTGGGTCCCTTCCAACTTGGGATATTCTAGGATCCACAGTGAGGGAATAATGGAATCCCAGAATGGGATCTGAGGGCTGGACTCCATGGTCCTCCTGGGTCCCTTCCAACTCGGGATGTTCTGGGATCCACAGTGAGGGAATAATGGAAGCCCAGAATGGGTTTTGTGGGAAGGGATCTTAAAACCCATCCAGTTCCACCCCCTGCCATGGGCAGGGACACCTTCCACTGGATCAAGGACACCTTCTGTTGGACCAGGGACACCTTCTACTGGAGCAGGGACACCTTCTATTGGACCAGGGACACCTTCTACTGGAGCAGGGACACCTTCTACTGGAGCAGGGACACCTTCCACTGGCCTGGGGACACCTTTTATTGTACCAGGGACACCTTCCACTAGACCAGGGACACCTTCTATTGGACCAGAGACACCTTCTGTTGGACCAGGGACACCTTCTGTTGGACCAGGGACACCTTCCACTCTCCCAGGTTGCTCCAACCTGGATTTGAGCACTCCCAGGTCTGGAGAAATGAATCCAGATTAACACAGCCCATCTCTGCAGAGGTTCTGCACCAGGGCTGGGCTGTCCCTGCCAGGAATCCGGGCGTTAGGTAACCCCTTCCAGCTGAGCAGATCCCCAGTGGCCCCGTGGGTGTGTTCGAGTGCCATCAGTGCTCACCCGAGTTTCAGGGAGACACCTGGCTCCGGGCACGTCAAAACCATGAAGGCACCAGCTTGATCACTGGACTTCCACACAGCCAAGCCCAGCTGGCGGGGGGATAAAAGGGGAGTCCCACCCTGCCTGCCCGCAGAGAGCAGAGTCTCTCTGGGCGCCGCATCTCGCCCGCGGGCTCGTCCCTCCATAGCGGGCTCTTCTTCCCTCCTGCACCATGAACAGAACCTTCAGCATGAGGGCAGGGCCCGGGGGCAGGTCCTACAGCGCTGCCTCGGCCATCGTGCCCAGCAGCAGCAGGGCTGGCTTCAGCTCCGTGTCCGTGGCACGGGCAGGAGGAGGAGGAGGAGGAGGAGGAGGGGGCGGCTTTGGGAGGCTCGTCGGGGGAGGTGGAGGCGGTGGTGGGGGAGGTTTTGGCAGCAGGAGCCTCTACAACCTCGGGGGCAGCAAGAGGATCTCCATCGGGGTCGGGAGCAGCTTCAGGGCCGCCTTTGGGGGGGGAGCTGGGGGGGGCTCCGGGCTGGGAGGGGGTGCAGGGGGTGGTGCTGGGCTGGGGCTCGGTGCTGGGGGTGCTGGGCTGGGGCTCGGTGGAGGAGGAGGAGGAGGGTTTGGGGGTGCAGGGGCTGGTGCTGGGCTCGGGCTGGGGCTCGGCGGGGCAGGAGGGGGGTTCGGCTTCGGTGGAGGGGCTGCGGGGCTGGGATTTGGGGGCGGGCACGCAGGAGCAGGAGGGTTCGGCTTTGGGGGCGTTGGGGGGCTGGGAGGGTTCCCCGGGGGGTTAGGGGGGGGCAGGGGCCCGGCAGGATTTCCCGGTGGCCCCTCCGGGGTCGGCACGATCCAGGAGGTGACGGTGAACCAGAGCCTGCTGGCCCCCCTGAACCTGGAGATCGACCCCAACATCGGCCAGGTGCGCAAGGACGAGAAGGAGCAGATCAAGAGCCTCAACAACAAGTTCGCCTCCTTCATCGACAAGGTGAGGCTCCAGCGGGGGCTGCGGGGTCGGAGGAGGGACAGAACGAGCCTTGCAGGTACAAAAACACAACTCCACAGAGCCACACTCGCCTCCTGCCTGTTCCCTGCCCGTGGGTTTTCATCAAACCCCTCAAAAAATAACGTCCTGCTGAGCAGTTACAGGGCAGAAAACGAGGCTTGAGGCTCCAGGTTTTTTGAGGCATCAGGTCCAGGTTTTGTGCCTGAGAAATAGCATTTAGGATTAGTTTAAACAGAGCAAGGCAGTTTTAGTCCAGGTCTGGTGGCTTGACCTCCTCTCTGTGGGGAATCACAGCGTGTGTGTTGGGCTTGGTTATGGCCTGCGAGATAAAATCCTTTTATGGTGACTCAACTTGAGTCCTCCCTCAGCCTTTAATTGGATAAATCTGTGGCACGTGTGAGCCAAGGGAAAGGCAATTAAGTCTTCTAACTGTAGAAGACTTGGCTTTAAGGAAGGAAGATAAATATCTTCCAAGGCAAAAAAAAACCAACCCCAAAGGATGTTAAAGTAAAGCCAGTGGGGAAAGAGCTGAACCCTCATTTTCCAGTTGCTGCTCCTTGGCTTCATAAATTAAGAGAACTGTCCACTGAGGGAGGATTTGCTCAGGTGAGGGACGGGCGGGATAATCCAGAGGATTTGACAAGAAGCTGAACAGGAGCCAGAGTGTGCCCAGGTGGCCAAGAGGGCCAATGGATCCTGGCCTGGCTCAGGAGCAGTGTGGCCAACAGGTCCAAGGAAGTGATTGTTGGCCTGGACTCAGCACTGGTGAGGCCACCCCTGGAGTGCTGTGTCCAGCTCTGGGCCCTCAGCTCAGGAAGGACATTGAGGGGCTGGAGCAGGTCCAGAGGAGAGCAACGAGGCTGGGGAAGGGACTGGAGCACAAGTGCTGTGAGGAGAGGCTGAGGGAGCTGGGGGGGCTCAGCCTGGAGAAGAGGAGGCTCAGGGGAGACCTCCTCACTCTCTGCAACTCCCTGACAGGAGGGGGGAGCCACGGGGGGGTTGGTCCCTTTTCCCAGGCAACCATCAGCAAGACAAGAGGGCTCGGTCTAAAGCTGTGCCAGGGGAGGGTTAGGTTGGAGATTAGGAAGAATTTCTTTGCAGAGAGAGTGCTCAGCCATTGGAATGGGCTGCCCAGGGAAGTGATGGATTCTCCATCCCTGGAGGTGTTTAAGATGGGACTGGATGTGGCATCAGTGCCACGGGCTGGGAACCACGGCGGGGTTGGATCAAGGGTTGGGGTTGATGATCTCAGAGGTCCCTTCCAACCCAGCTGACTCTGGGATTCCATGATTTAACGCCTCTGCTCCGGGGTCTCTGCTCATTCCCGTGCCGATCCTCTCCCCCGCGCTCAGGTTCGGTTCCTGGAGCAGCAGAACAAGGTGCTGGAGACCAAGTGGACCCTCCTGCAGGAGCAGGGGCAGAAGAACAACTCCGGCAAGAGCAGCCTGGACCCGCTGTTCGAGGCCTACGTGGGCAACCTGCGGCGGCAGCTGGGCAACCTCCTCGGCGAGAGGGGCCGCATGGACGGCGAGCTCAGGAACATGCAGGACCTCGTCGAGGACTTCAAGAACAAGTGGGTGTCCTGTGGGAGGCGTGGCCTGAAAGATTTGGGAGGAAAAAAAACCACTCCAGGGCAATTCAGAGAGGAGGGAAGATAAGGGAAGGTTTTAATGAAGCCTCTCCGGGCTCTGGGAAATACAAAACTGCTGCCCCCCGACCCGGTGTTATGATTTT